CTCACACTTATTCAGCAAAGAAAGCACAGCCAAGCCAAACAATCTGAAGAATACGTCTGGCACAATCTTCCAATAGCAAATGCCTGGCATGAGGTTCACGCATCATCTGTGAGTGATTTGCATTGTAATAAGAAAGAATAATTGTATCCTGATCCACTGCAGTAGTAATATACATTGCTCTCCCCTCTCTAGCTATACCCCCAACTGGCTGACAGCAGTTTCTGCAGGTACTCAAAAAGATTTTTCAGCTGACTGTTCCATTATGTACCCCCCAAGAAAAGAACAGTATTCATTCTGTGAAGCCATAAATCCAAAAAACAATTATTTTCATCTTTTTTCCAAGAAAATACTGCCATAGCTGGTATGCGCACAATGCACTAACCAAAGCAAGGAGCAAGATTTGACAATTTGAGAAACTATTTCATGATCTGGATTCAATGACTCCACAAATATTTAGTGCTAAATTATAATGTGATAAATTTTGCACTTGTGGAGTGACTTTGAAGCTTCTTAAGAGTCTTAGATAAAAGAAGTGAAACGCTGGCGTTTACCACTTTCAGCAACACACTTGGGAGTGTGGCTCATCACCAGTGACAGTGAGATGAATAATAGTGTGGGCAAAGTATTCTGCAAACTATTAGACCAGAGAATTTTGTTAAACTTGGTAGATGAAAGTACATGAGCCAAAACACATCCTTAATTACAAACTGTAATGATGCTGGTGTGTGAAGACAGCATGAATACAAAAAGAAAGATAACTAGTTTAAAGATGTGTACTGATTTAAGGGGAGGGGATTTCAAAGACTTAAAAAAAAAATGATAATTCAATGGTTGAGATTGAACAAAATCATTCAGGGTGATTTGATGTGAAATGATAAACTACAGGGAAACTTACAGCGTCTGATTTCCATACAGTAGTGGTGCAATGTCAACAACACAAATATTGCTGTTTATTGCTGGATTGCCCCATGAGCCAGCCTACAAGAGTTAATGTATCTTACTGAGTCACTGACTGACTGACTGATACCCATTGTTGAAATGCCTGTGTAAGCATGACCTGTAAGCAGCAGGTCATGCTTTTTGGGTCCTGTTTTGCCTTACAACACCCTGCATGTACCTCTCCACCATAAAGATATAGATTTTAAAAACTATGTTAATTCAAAACAATTATTAAAAGCATCTCAGACAATGTATTAAAGCCATTTCACATGATCGCTTTCTGTGAGGTAGGCTTTAAAATCTTTAACACTTCAGATGTCTGGTTCCTATCAGAACCAATTCTGACTCAGTACACTGTGAAAAAAATGGAACTGTGTAGGTTCATTTTACATTTGTCAAGGCACAAACAATGTAAATGTACAACAATGGTTTTATTGTCCAACAATGTTTTTCCCCAAGGCATATGGCACAATTATGTTCCCTGACTGAAGGTACTGAAGACATTCCCTTGAGGGTACCACCCCAGTGACACTTCAGTACTCAGTTTCTCTAGGTTGGCACATTTAACATCAAACCACTCAATTACTTTTACATCTTAATTTAATTATGCAGATGTTTAAATTGGTGGAATTCCTCTTTAACTGTGAGCTAAAGGTGAAAAGAACACCCAGCAACTGGCGTTCAAACAGTCATAAAGGCCATGAAGAAAGAGGCGAGAGTGACCTGTACGCCTGAGGAGGTGAGACAGTGAGCAGGGTGACAGAACAACCACGGCTTACATTCATCCACACTGTCCTTCGCACGTCCCTTTTCCAAACAGTGTGAGACATTCTTTCATGAATAACGCCTGGAGGCACACGGGCTGTAAAAGCTCTTCAGCTAGCCATGGCAAGCTAGCTTCTCTTTTCCATGAGGTAACTACAGAGCTCACATTGTTGAAGGCAGAAGCCCTGCCGTCTAGCTACAATTTACAGCAGCAGGTTATGGAACTCGGGGGACCACCTTTTAAAATAAACAAGCAAATAAAACGTGAGATGTAACAAAGCTCGGCTGCCTGACTTGGCCCTCCGAGGCCTCCAGTCCTTATGTTAGTGGGAGGAAAATAGAGTAAGCATGAGTGTAGTCACAGAAGCTAACCAGCTTCACATTACACCTCATGTTTTACATAGACTTTCCTATGGAAAACCGCAGCCTCTTGAACTCGTGTGGGTCTTTTTTTTTCTGATCAGGAGCAGAAGGGCCGGCTGGAGCCTTGGAGGAGCTAAGCTGAACGACAAGCAGTCACACTTTGGCGGGAGTGTGACCTTTGCTGCTCTTGGAAAATGGATTCACACATCCCAAGGCTCGCAGACCTGCTGAACTCTCCCATGACTAGACCATGGGTGCCAGGGGGGAAGAAGGTGCTAAAGCATGCAAACCTAATGACAACACTCTCACACAGTTGTAGGCACTTTTTCTTGCCAAGACATCACTCTGAAACCCAAAACCTTTTCAAAGACTAACATATTTATGGACTCCCACTGGATTCTTTCGTACCACCTCATGGTTCCTAGATAAGCAACGGCATGAGCTGAACAGACAGAAGCAACAGACACTCAGACCGGCCAGTAGAGAAGCTGGGCAAGTAGAGAAGCTGGGCAATCTGTAGTCATACTCTGTGTTTGTACTGTGTACAGGCACACAGCTGGTTTTAATATCAGCAGAACTGACAGCATATGATTGCTCAGCCTGTCCACAGACAGGAAGAAGAAAAGAGAAAATCTGGCAAGCTTAAAAATCAGCATTGTCAAGACAGAAGCCTCTGCTGGTGTCAAATCCCACACATCTATGACCTTTATTGAGTGTATATGTACAGTACTCTGCAAAAGTGAGAGCATCCAAATTGGGTGAATGGTGTAGGAACAACAGCTCATTTTTAGGGACTCAAAAATAATTGGACAATTGGCTGCTCAGCTATTTCACGGCCAGACTTGTGTTCTTTCTTCATTATTTCACTTACAAGTAAGCAGATTAATGATATACAGTTGATTTCAAGTCAAGCATTTGCATTTGAAATTGTTACTGCTAGTGAAGCAAGTCATCATTAGACTGAAAAACCAAAACAAACACATCAGAGAGATAGCAAAAACATTAAATGTGGTAAAATAAACCATTTAGTACACTCTCAAAAAAATGAAAGACCACACTTCTGGCTAGCTTAGAAAACAATTGTGGTGGATGACAGAAGAATTTTTTCCCTGGTAAGAAAAACTCCTTCACAACAGTTGGCCAGATCAAGAACACCCTCCAGGAGGTGGACGTATCTATGTCAAAGTCAACAATCAAAAGAAGTCCTCACCAGAGCAAATACAAAAGGTTTTACCACAAGATGTAAACCACTGGTAAGACTTAAAAACAGGAAGACCAGATTAAAGTTTCCTCAACAACAACAAAAAAAAATTTCTTAAAGTCTGCACAGTTCTGGAACAACATCTTATGGACAAATGAGACCAAGGTCAGCTTGTACCAGAATTATGCGGATGAAGGGAAATCACACCATTAGCGTACCATTCATGAGCCAAAAAAGTCAAAAAAGAGTTTAGTTAGTGAGAGTGAAGAACGGCGTACTGAATGTCCGCTGTCATGGAAAATTAAATCAAAGGTTGAAACTGACTTTTGCACAGTACTGTATAGGTTTTCTGTCAGGTGGGTAGAATGGAAGCTCCTTAAGAATGAAAGGAATATAACTCCTACGTAAGGTCTTCAAGGGTTAAAGAAATTATACCATGACAGGCCACCGCCGCTAATGCACCCCTCCTCTGCATTGCACAGTTGGCCTTTGCCTTAAGGAATCCCCAAGCCAAAACACAAAGTCATAGAGGAAGCTGAGCTGTGAGGCAGCTGCCCCATCACTCCCACAACTCTGATGCAAATCCCCCCATGAACCTCTCAGCAAAAGCACTGGTGGCTCATTCTTTTTAAGTTAACCCTGGATGCCCTTCCTTCACACATAACAAGCAACAGAGACCTGACCCTAACCAGGTTACGCACACCAACATTTCAACAGAGGCTCAGAGGATTGTCAGCTCACACTGGCCAAGCTGAAACCGATCATGAGGTTAAAGGCTCTAACCAAAGACCTAATTGAATTCCAGCGTTTGTGCAGTAACACTAAGGCAGTTAATCAGTGACACTTATATAATAACAGCAAAGATATTCCTTAATTCAGATATTATTCTGCTGTTCATGTAGGTGACCAGAGGTTACATGTTCTTTTCAAAACACTATTTGGTTTTACTTGCTGAATGTCCCCTGGCAGCCAGGGATTTGGTCAGGCACTCGCAGTTCACTATGAAGAGATTTGGGTTTGAATAGACTGCCTGGACCGTTCTTCTTCCTTAAGTTCTTTGCCAGTGTCAACTGGAAACCTGGATCTCTCTCAGCTATACGTCATGAAAGGATCTTTCAAAACAGGGAAAAATTTATTAAACCAGGAAAGCGCTACACAAAAAAAAAAAAAAGAGAAAACATTTTTCACCTCTACCAATACTGTTATCAGTGTCTCAGGCTGCCTTGCTACTGGAAAACATGCATGGATACCAAGAGCCAGCTTCTCTTAGACAGATTAAACAGTCAACAAACATTCTTTACTTGGAAATCCATTACAGGCTAGTTTTATGCTTGTTCTGTGTCCAGGAAACAAGCCCATAAATTTTCCACCAGCTCTCCAAAACTTCTCTCTAACCTCTATAACAACCTCACTAAGAACTAAACGTAAAATCATTCATTTCACCATGTTAGATAAGTAACATATGTTATGTTTGGCCCCTAATTCTGGTCCACTGATGAGAATATTAACCAGCCTGTAGGCACTAACCATAAAGACTTCAGAGACATAGATGTGGCCATGCACTTGGAGAACTGAATCAACACTGCCATCTAGTGCCTAAAGCTGAAAACCCAGTGAAGACACTGCACAAGGTAACATTTCAGTTTCTTCAACCTTAACGTGGTCATTTGTCATTAGTTAACATGTGAGGATCACTGAGCATGCTGTGGCTAAGAACTAAAAGACAGTGAGATTACTTGAAAGATTTTTTTTATTAATTTATAATACAGGCTTTTAGGCAGATTGTAATTTTTTTTTTTTACATTTAATATTCTGAAGCTAATTTCATAGCAGTGATGATTAATACACATTCACTGAGGGATGGTCACTCAAAGGAAGATCAGAAACAGTGTCCTTGGGCACTGCAGTCACCAATGTCTGATCTGTTCTCCCCCTATCATTTGTGCCATCCCTCCCCAAACTCGCACACATCAGCCATTAAATGTGTACCAATTTAAACCTGAACTACACAGACACAAGATTACAAAGGACTTTTTTTTTTAGAATTCTATTATTAATAATATTAATTTGCCACGGTCAGAAGGCAAATGGAAAAACAAACAAACAAACAAACAAACAAACAAAAAAAAGCATACAAACATTAGGAAATAAAACACCCATATTTTCTCCTGGCCCAGTAGGGGGGGCCCATTAAGGGGATGCAATCCCCTGTTCACTCTGCTTTGCCCTTGCCAGTGCAGCTCAGCAGGGGGTCCAGGAATCCATCGTGCTTACAATGCAGCCCTTATAGCTGAGGCTTTCAAGCAGGAGCCCTCTGACAATTCCCTTATTCTTATTCCTTGCGTCAGACGGTGGCAGGCGGTCATCCCTCGGGATGCACTAGCAGATAAGAGGTGGCTGAGGAGATGGGAATGAGTTCCTGACAAGGCAAAAGGAGCAGTTCATGTTTTCCCCTCAAAAAAACAAGCATATTTGGCAACCTTTTCACTCACTTCTCAGCGGGAGGGACCTTCACTATTCAAGCACATAACAGGTGAACAGTCCCAAGAAGGCAGGTACACACCCAGGGCGAGAAAACACTAGACTAGGGCATGCACATGTTGACACAGCTGTTTAGAATAAAAAAAAAAAAAAAAAGAGAGCTGCATGACTAAGTTCAAATTCTCGCTTGGTCCTGCTGCAAAGGCAAACATATGGGTGGTCATGGCTTGTGTTAAATCAGTCCATCGACGCTAAAGCTAACTCTGTTGTACTCGTTCTATACAAAGCAACAGGTTGTGATGGATGTCATACCTTGCCAGTGGTGAGGCAAGCTATTGTCTGGGGTGAGATGATTAAGACCATGAAGCGCAACGACTTAAGGATCCAAGTTAAGTGCGAGTCCAGGTCAAGGGCTTGTGACAAGTGTGTGCTTCAGCTGATGAGCAGAAGAGTAAGTCTAAGTGGCAGCCAGCATTAAAGAGCAGAGCCATGTCCAAATCTGCACTTCCAGTCAGAAAGCAGTCCAAATACGTGAAGGAAGGGACCTCCAAGTTTCTCTCCTGAGTACACCAAATCCCCCAACGACTCTTCGCTCTCCGAGTCCTGGGTACTTAATCTTACCACCGTTTATTACTGTTTGGATTTTTAAAAGAAACCTATGTACAGATTGTTATCATGGTTTCACTAAGCAAAGAGTAATCTGGCAACAAAAAGGGCAGACAAAACATTTGGGTACTTGGCACAGAAAGTTCCCAGCTACTGTACAGGAATAAATCAACTGAATGAAAAATCAATCCGACCCTCCAAGCTGTTCAGTAATCATTCAGAATACATCATGGATTGGCAAGCAGAGAAATGTAGCAGGGGCTGAGGAAGAGAGGGATGTTGGGGGGGAAGCAGGGAGTTGTTCAGTCTTCTGTTTTACAGCAGTAGGCAGCAGCTGCTTTCTGTAGTCTTCTCCCGGTTTCTTTGGCCTAAAAAAAATAAAAATAAAATAATAATAATAATAATAATAATAATAATAATAATAAAACAAAAAGAATAAATAAAAATAAATAAAAGATTAAGCAAAAACAGAGTGATGTGATAAATCTAATCTATCAACACAATGCTGCTTTAGAACTTAATGTACAATGTGAAAGACATTAGGAAAAGCAGTCCCTTTTAGGTGTAATAAAGGATGCAAGGACAAGTACACAGGAAAGGACAAGGACACACTAACATATACATTCACTGAGAAATCATAAGCATCAGTAAACAGATCAACTGGTTTGCTACCATTTCTTTCCTGTTAGCTTCTTCTTGACCCTAAAGGCATATGGTTTAAGAACACAGTTTGCAACGAAAAGATATTTACTGGTAGATAATGGGAAGTTGCTATCAAGTGAACTCTAGACACCCTATACAAACAAACCTTTTGAGTCACATTACATGTAATAACTCAACCATTCTTTGTTAAACACTTTAGAAAGCAGCTCTGCTCTTTCACTATCAGGCAACAGTATTGTTGGTTTAGATTAAGTTAAGAGCATATCATTTAAGAGGGACAACCCCAATTCATGCTTAGGCCTCAATTTGGAGTTTTAAAATCCACTTAGTTACATTAAACTTGGCATTTATATTAATACCTCCCTGTACATTCATCTTGTATAATCACTGAACTGTAAGTATCATAACCTTTATTTATAGAGCACTTTTCACACACATTGCAGCTCAAAGTGTGCTGCAATCAAATAGTAAAGTTGAGCAATAAGAGCAAAGTACACAACTGCAATAAAATAGAACATAAGACAATGAAAAATTGAATTACATTACAGTAGTATTTAGTATTACGGCTGCTAAATTAGAAACATTTTCATTTGTGTTTTAAAAAACTTGTACCTAACTGCCTAACAAGTTCCACAGCTTAGAATCACACAAACAGAAAGAGGTCTCTATTTTTTCTGCAACTTACACATGGTATTCTGAGAGGCCCAGTACATACAGGTCTAAGGTCATATGTTGGAACATAAACAGACATTCAGTGAGATTTGCAGGGTCTAAATCATAAAAAGTTGAAAAAAAGCAGTAAAAGAAGCCATTGCAGTTCTTTCAAAACAGGGGTGATACGTGTGCTCTCATGTTTTTATTAGGATCAGTGATGCTGCATTTTGAACATGTTATAGGCAGTGATGGATTATTGATCAGGTCAGTACCCAGGAGCCTCCAACTGCCAGGAGCCTCAGGGGGCCAACGGGCCTGAGGTGGTTCAAATACTTCGGGCAATCCTCTGCAGATACAGGCTAAGCATTAGATGAACTATTAGCCACTGAATATATAAAAATTATAAATTACATGGAAAGAAAAAAAAAAAAAACGTTTTCTATTCTCAGGCCCCTCAGGTTTTATATTATCATTTACTTTGCTGCTGCCGCCATTCAAATGTGATGATTCAGCTCATCTTTAGGTTCACAAATCTTACACAAAAAGTATGAAGGCTAAGTTGGTTTATTCTCAGAAAAAAAAAAAAAACACCACATGAACTGTTGTTTAATCTCACTTGTACAATTTTTTTTCCAAGTTATTCATTCAGTGTTACTGTTAGAGTTTGAGGGGGCTCCTAAGGGGCTTTGCAAGACTGCCCATTACATATAACCAAGATTATCTGTAATAGATGCATGTACAAATTTTTCCTGTTTTGCTCTGGGATGTAAAAGGCTTTTTCTTTTTTAAATGAAGGATAAAACCTCCCTCCCTCCCTCCCTCCCTCACTCACAAAAATATACTTTAAAAAAAAATTCCAAGAAAACACTGTCTATTCGTATGATCAGCCATATCAAAATATGGCAATTCTGCTAATTTAATGCACTCTTCATGTATGTTAAGACTAACATAGTTGGGGGAAAAAAAGTTTTGCACAGACCACATTGTCTTTTTTTTGCTCCCCATATTAAATTCAGCAAATAAATAGTAACTGTGCATTAAAATGTGTAGACGTGTGTTCTCTGTAGACAACGTGCAATTACTTTCACTTAGAAATTCACCAAAACAAATAATTTTACGAGGGGCAACCAATATGTTGCATATGAATCAGCGCTAAGCATCAGGTCGTTCACAACACGGACCAATACCGTCTCTGCTATGGTTGGAACGAAAACCTGACTAAATTATTAGATACCAAGTGTGAATTGAATTGTTTAAAAACATTTTCACTACCATTTTACATAAAGACAAGGTTTAAAATCTGTCTAAAACCTCAAATTACAGTGGGATTCATGCTACTCTTTTTTTGTTCTTTTTAGCGTGGAAAGAAAAACTAACAATGATCATTAGTTCTCGCATTCTAAGCAATGTTAGTTTTTTGGAATGCAAGCGATTTTTAGGAGGCAATGTTAAAGGGGAACTCCACAGATCTTGCAAAATTACTTAAACATGCAATGGTTTAGATGTGAACAAAATCATTGCAAGGTTTGGTGTGAAATGCACCTTTCCAAAGAAATTCACAGGTTGCAAATTGTTCACTATTATAGTAGCCAGTTGTCCGACACGTTTAATGGCTCTGAACGCTACATCCCATCAAGTTATTACATAAAATATTTATGAATGCATGGCTTGATACCTGAGATATTTTGTAGTAGTTTTGTTATAAAGTTTTGGCCTAAAACTAAGATGAATGTATGCTTTTGCTGTTACTAGTCTCTAGCTACAGCCGTTCAACATGGCTAATGCCAGAAGCAGCTTTTGTTTACAGATTATTTTTATGATTTTCTTAGCTATTTTGGAAGATTGCTGAGTATGCAGAGGATTTCGAGGAGGTTTATTTCCAAAATGTCGTAGATCCATATCAATTTGAAGCAGAAAACACAAAGGAGTTGCAGAGGTTTAAAGACAGAGAGAGCCGAGAGAGAGAGAGAGCAGAGAGAGAGCAGAGAGAGAGCAGAGAGAGAGAGAGAGAGAGAGAGATTATATCAGATTATATTATAAAGATTATATCAGCTCAGTTGAAACTTATATCCCATCATTTAAAGAGAAAATGAGTAAAACAGAAGATTTGTTACGGGTGTGTTTAGGAGAGACACCAGAATGTGCTGAACTATCAGCTAAATATGTTTACAGCTGCCACAAACGCAGAGAACAGAGTGACACAGCACCTTAAACTGATCCCCTGTAAATGTATCATTTATTTATTTGATGTTGTGTGTGTATTTTACAATGTGTATGTTTATGTATGTATATGTGTGTATGTACATATGAATATTTTATTATTTTAGT